AGATGCAGGCCCAAAGGCTGGCTGCAGGAGTGGTACCTCTTGTTAGTCTGTGGTGAGGCTGCCCTCTGGAACCTGGACTTCAACTGTAAAAGACCTCTTGTCCATTCATTCTATTTAGGGCTTTGTTTTTTATGATGTCACAGTGTTTTGGTGGGTTCTCTTTGGTGTCATTCGTATCTCTTATCATTGGAATGTTTCAATGAACATGTAGGTTTATACAAGATTGTGACATGATTCAGATTTCTTGTACTTACCACACTTCCATGTAATTGTTGTCTTATTACGGCCAGCAGTATCCTAGCATCCATTTCATTTAGTGTCTTTTTGGTTCTGATTGTTATATCTTGTGTTCTGCTTCTGCTATAGCTTCCCCCTCTCCCATGTGTGATTTAGAATGCTCGTCAGAACCTTCCGTTGAAAGATTTACCAAGATATCCCCTGTATTTCTCAAAGTTTGTTGAAAAGCCACACTTTAGCTGGGAATCAGAAACTCCTCTTACATCACAGAGATCCCTAACAAGTGGTTGTGTCAGGATGGTGCTACTTATCATTGGCCAGGATGCCAAGTAAGATTTGCAGACAGTTTGAGTATATGCAAACTTTATGCAAGCAGAAGGAAAATAATGAGATGACATATTGTTTAAAAGGATTCCTGCATCCAACAATACATATGTCACACATTACTGGTTGTGGGTAATTTAGAACAAGAACACAGCACAATGTAAGATGATTCAGATGAGAATAGAGATGATTTGCATAGTATGTACTAGTCAGAGCTCCCAGACAAATTATTGTCAAACAAAATCTGTCCAAAGTTGTTGGCTTTTTCAGGAGTGCCAAAGGCCACGAAGATTGCTTGTTGCATTGATCACTTTTCTAGAAATTAGATATCTAATCTTTAATTTCATTTTGTGTATAAAACAATTTGTATGAAATGAAGGTACAGTAATCCCACATATGCTTGTTGAAATCAAATGACCTTTACACCTGGCAATGCTATGGCCCCAGTTCTTTGCTTTCTGATTGTGGTCAGCCAGTGTCTGTTAGGTAAATTATGGCTATAGAGCACTTGTAGACTTCCTTAGGGATTTATTATCTGGAAACAAATTAGCCTGAGCTCTAGGCAACTTTTTCAGAATTAAGGTAGTGGATTTTTATTATTTCTTTGCAGTAGCACCAGGCATGAAGGCCACAGCTTCTCACACCCTAATGGCTGTGGGTTTATTTAATGTCCCCGGAATTATTTTTTGAACTTCGGTGCACACAGATGCCCCTTTAAGTGCTCAGTCACCAAGAGTCCATGTCTAATGCTATTAATTTTGATTCTGTTATTTGTGTTATTAGCATTATGACGGTAATTCTTTATAGTAAGGTGCACTCTCTAGAAACTAAGTTCCCAACTCCATATTGCAAAATTTATTCAACAATCTACATTGCCATGACTGGGCGTGTCCCCTGGGGAGGTTGATGGGGGGCTCTATATTGTCTTCACAGAAAAATAGGAGCTGAAATTTGGGAGTACGGAGTGGGCTACGGCTATGCGTGGCTTTTTCTTCAATCTTTTTCTTTTATTTGTGGCATTACTGTTCATGTCTGCAAATTAATTCTTGTACCGAGGACAGCAACTTTTAGTCCTCTATGCATCATTTTCAGTTTGCCCCCCCCCCCCTTAGTGCATCCATACTGTAAAGATTAACTTTTCATGATTATCATAAAGATACTAATAGTGATGAGACTAGTGAAATGATATAGAAGAAGCTTTACAGAGATTTAGGGAAAGCGTTAACAGGTGAGATAGGTAAAACTAGTAATTGACCTTTGGTGACTAAGCACTTGTGGAGCCATCTGAGTGTAAACACAATGAATAAACTAAAATTACAGTGGACATAGCATGTAATCATGCCCTCCACATCTAAAGTGTTAACTGAGATATTAAGTCCAAAATGATTACAGACAGTAATAGCTTTTTCTAATTATATATACATATATATATATATATATATATATATATATATATATATATATATATATATATTATATATATGTATGTATATTAGATATGAGTTTTTTATATTGTGCTTGCAAACAATTCTGAGATGTGATTTCAGACAAGAAAAAAACAAAATCTAAATGTTAGATTGAAGAATTATCTGTACATAATAATCCCTGGACACACTCAGTGTGTATATTTGTACCATATACAGTGGCTTTGTATATTTTTTTTCTTTTTATTATAGTTACTGACTATTTTCATTATCATTATCGTTTATAAATGATTGGCTCCACAAAGCCTTATTGAATGAGTCAGGTAATAGGCCAACCTGATTTCACCTGTTGACATTCCTTGAGTTTTTGTAAAAAAAAAAGTTTGTTGTATTACTATTACTATTGTTATGCTATGTAATGATTATAACATTGATAATGATATTATCATTAGTAATGATAATAGTGTTTGAAAGTTTTTTTTTTTCCAAAAAAAAACAATGACTGGGTAAATAGG